TCCATCCGTCTCTCTCTTGACCCTCAACGGCTCCCTCTTCAGGGCATGGCCCTCCGGCCAGGTCACTGCAGCTATCCCCTCCCGGGGGCGCTATCTAAGTCTTCCACCCCGGCCCACGCAGTCCCTGCCCTGGCTGCGCCACTCCCCGAGTGACTGGAACAGACGGTCCCGGACAAGCTTCAAGGTCACTGTCCAGACTCTGTCCCTCGTTCCGTGGCTGGCAGGGAACCCCGGCCCGCCCTCTACACCGGGGCCCAGTCCTGGGCTCTATCTCCAGCAGCCAAGGTCTGTGCTGCCATGAACCTTCCTATCACTGCCCTGGACTACGACCTACCTTGCCTATAGCCAGGTCGCATTCCCCACCCCTCTCTCCTGGGTCTGCTGGACAAACCCTTCCTCTTGGCTCCGACCCCTCTCTCCCTTGTCCCAGGGCTCGGGATGGCAGCGCTACTCCCTGCAGCCAGATCCCTGGCTTTGTAGAAGCCCCTCCTGCTTCTGCGCAGGTGAGGTCCCTAAATTAGGGCTCTGCTCTCAGGCTAAATATCCCCAGGTTTGCAGCCTAATAGGTTAATTGGCCCCTTGGGCCCACGTTAACCCCTTCGGGGCGAGTGTGGGCAGCACAGCCCATCACACAGGGCTTAGTGTTGGCTTGAGGGGAGAGCTGATGGAGCTGTCTCCGCGTGGGCCCACTGATTGTTCCTCCCATACGTGTGGGAAGTGGAGGACACAAAAGGGATGGGCCCTGTTCCAACACTGACGCCTGGCTACACCGTTCCTCCACTGCCCACCGCGGATCCTCCGTGCCTGCTCCTGCTGGTCCCCCCAGCAGCCAGCCCAGTCATCGGGCCGGGCACTGGGCAGAGCACAGGTCGCTGGTGAGAACAGTCATTAAAAAATGGCAGGAGAGGCCCCCGCAGCCTGGTCGCTGTGAGCTGTCCAGGCTGAGAGCCAGCGCTGAGGAGCCGGGTGAGCACGCCGGCATTGCGGGGTTTGTCTGAGCGCAGCCCCTCACTTCGCTCCCATAAACAGGTGAGTTCTCATTGTCCGTTATTCTGAGTGTGTATCATCATCTCTCACAGGACTGGCCCAGTGTCAGCAAATAGAGACACAAGCTGGGGGAAGGAATATCTTTTACTGGGCCAACTTCAGGTCCTGACTGAAGAGGAGCTCTGTGTGGCTCGAACGCTTGTCTCTCAGAAGTTGGTCTAATAAAAGCTATTCCTTTCCCTACCTTGCCTCTCTCCTACCCTGGGGCCGACACGGCTACAACACTGCGAACAATACATGAGAGGAGTGGCATTAAGGCTACATAGAGTAAAAACCCCATATGGGAAAAAACCCCTTGAAGAACAGAAATTACTGTACATATCATCCCATCCCATACGTAGTGTGTCTAGTGGTTAAAGCAGGGGGCTGGGAACCAGGACTCCGGTTTGCGGGGGGAGGGACTGGGAGCCGGGACTCCGGTTTGCGGGGGGAGGGACTGGGAGCCAGGACTCCGGTTTGCGGGGGGAGGGTTTGTATCGAGTGGGTCTAGCAGTAATTCAAGAGTCCGAAGCTTTAACCCGAACTTTACCACTGATTCATGTCTGACCATGGGCAAGTCACTTAACCGCCTTTGCCTCAGTTTACCCATTTGCAAATGGCATATTATTATTTGTATATGTATTCTTGCAGGAGCCCTGGTTCCAGACCTGGGCCCCACTGTGTTAGGTGCTGTACAAACAGAGAATAAAGAGACAGTTCCTGTCTAAAAGGAACTGCTTCTTTTCCTCACAGGCATGTTCTGACTATTCATAGAGAGCCCTGAGCTACTTCAATGAAAGGTGAAAATTGTTACTACCAAGTTTTATACTGAATAATTCACTCTTTACTTGTATGAATGCAAAAAGAAATACATTTTTTTAAAAAAAAGCATCTTAAACAGACGTTTAAACCCCCAGTTGAACTGAATATTTAAAAAGTAAAAGCGTGACTTCTCTGCTGAGGCCTGGCCTGCCAGTGCTCTGCCTGGAGTTTTATAGCCAGTTTATAACACCCTGAAAATAGAGGTTGATAAGAGCAATGCGGACATAACCTGAAGCTGAAAGAGCAGCTGTGCCACTCACATTATTCTTGCATTTTCACTGCTAATCCCCCAGCCCCTGCGTGTCTCCCAGTAAAGAACCTGCGCGGCTGGCTCTGCATCCCCAGGGAAATGGCAGGAGCCGAGGAGAGGTGAAAGAGGTTTGCACATATCGTATTACCTGCCCACACACGCTCCCTAGGCTGTCATGGCACCAGCGCATCCAGTGGCGTTTGCTGTCACAGACAGCCTGATAATGGGAGGAGGTCTGTTCACTGGGAGATCCCTCTGTTCCAAATTGACCGTCCTCCACACACCAAAAAAAAAAAAAAAAAAAAAAGAGGCAGAACTGTTCAGTTGGTTGTAAAAATTAATGAGTTCAGATACAGACTTGCTTTATTCCGGTCCAGCTGCGTAACCACGGCGATGCTGTCCGGCACACTAGACAGTTACATCAGCTCCACACCCCGGTACAATGCGACTCTGTTTGATCTCAGAAACAAGATCAGACTCCTGGGCTTTTGCACATCCTGCTTCCTACATATGTAAAATCATTTTGTTACCAGCCAGGAGAGTTCATGTGAACCAGTCTCGCTGCGCAGCTGAAGCAAACAGAACATGCCCCCGTCGGCACTTCTTGTACCAGATGGAGGTCTGGGGAGAGAATTCTGAGCTGCTACTTTGGCGTAGATTGGGAACTCTTCGGGGCAGGAAGGAACTAGGTCTTCCTATGCATTTGTACAGTCCCTAATGCAATGGGGCTCTCAGCATGACGGGGGCCTCTGGGCACTACGGTAATATTAATGTTAAATAAGAATCATTAGTATTTCTTCATGCTTTATCCTCTGCTGCCCCTGGTGCTTGGGGAAAAGACCTGCTACAATGCCACGCCAATCTCCCTCTTTAGAGCTTCCCTCCGCTGGGCGGCCCACGAAACACGGGCTAATCGCTGGTGTTTGGTGTGCGGCGATGGCTGTCGCAGATGCTGATCTGTACACACGTGAGCAGCCCCACAGCCAGTGGGATAAAGTGGAGCCTGCTGAGTCTCAGCCAAATCGGGGCCTTGATTGTAAGCTCGGCGGTCAAGGACTGTCATTCCATGTTCATAGAGTACCGAGCTCAACAGGGCCACCGGGATCTACACAACAGCAACAGTTCTAATTACAATTAATTAGTCCCAGTGAATGGCACATTGCCGGCAGCCCAGCAGACTGTAATTTTTTTGCTTATGCCCAAGACACACACTGGCCCCTGTTCATGTCTCTATTGGTCTCCCAGAAGGAGCCTGGGAGGGTCAGAAAAAATGTAACCTCCCACCTCCAATAAATAACACACACATGTCACTTCAAGTTCCCGCCCTAGAGACTTCAGCAAAGGGAGTGGGTGAGGAACTACAGTCACGCAGGTGCTGGGCTGAGAACACCAGCTCATTTCCCATAGGGCACCCGCAGCTGTCACATGGTAACTGCTGGTTACTCTTCAACTGCAGCTGGATTTAAAGCAGTGACGTGGAGGGAAAAAGCTCCCCCCATCCCATCCCCAATCCCTTGAGTCATCCCAGCTCACTTGAGCCGTTATTTAGAATGCATCACGGTGCTGACCAGGAGCATCGTCCCTTACAGTCCCTTCTCTCAGACTTTAGTCCAGTCTCCTCTTTTTGATAAACCTCCTACGATGCAGGTTTATGGATGTTTAAAGCTGTAACTAAACCCCCAACCATCTAACTGTGGTGTCCCCACTCCCCCATTCACCCCTCTTCTTCTACCATCGCATTCAGGCTCAGAACCTGACAAACTTCAGGCGCTGCAGTGTGAAACCATCTCAAAGTTCTGCCGCCATGCTACATTTGTAAAGAAAGCGAACACTACAAAGCTGTGTGGGCCCAGGCACTGCCCGCATCCATTCCAGATTTCCAGGCCTCTTACACAGACCACGTGTCGGGCTGTCTGTCTTCTTTCCAAGGCACCCATTTGGAGTCTCAGTTACAAACCCAAAAGATGGATCCAAATATCTCTAGCAATTTGGGACATTTGACATTCAGATCCGGAACCAAATTGTACAATGCAAGCCCGTCTCTATGTGAAAGGCAAGCCCAAGGAATTCTCACTCCTACGGGGTTTGTTACCTATATGAAAACCAGTCCAAGTCAGTCAGGAGCTTTTCTGATGTGCCACAGAGCTCACATGGGAATGTCAGTTATGAACCTGCATTGGTTCTGAATGAATTATTGAGAGACTTTGGGTGTTTTTGGAAGCTGAACTGCAGGGAAGTGATGTGACAGACAAACAATCGAAGAACCAGGAATCATACAAACAAATGGGAAGCGGGGACCATAATGACAAAACAATAAGGAAATTTGGATTTCACAACCACAACTATTGATAAGTGATTCCTTGTCAGACAGATGTTGTCAAACTAAGTTTTCTTTAACCATCGTAAGATCTGTTTCTTTATCTGGTGATAGTGGGTGCCATTAGGACGGAGTCTCCTTAGCAGCCGGATATTACATTGTTTTAATGTAATTTAGATGGAATGTGAGGATGTGACTTCCTGCTTCTTAGCTAATGGCTGCTGCTCTCCTAATCTGGCTGCAGACAAAGGCCTTAGGCCTTACCATATGGCTACAAGAAAAGGCCTCATCCTTACAGGACTCCTTGTCAGGGCTGGCTCCAGGGTTTTTGCCGCCCCAAGCATCGGGGAAAAAAAAGAAAAGAAAAGAAAAAGCCGCAATCGCGATTGGCGGCAGCTCCACCGCGCCGCTTTCTTCTTCGGCGGCAGGTCCTTCCCTCCGAGAGGGACGAGGGACCTGCCACCGAATTGCCGCCGAAGAGCCCGACATGCCGCCCCTTCCCCTTGGCCACCCCAAGCACCTGCTTGCTGAGCTGGTGCCTGGAGCCGGCCCTGCTCCTTGTACAGGTAAATGCTTACCGCTGGCAGTGACAGTTGTATGATTCTGGCCTATCTGTAGCACTCCCAGGACTAGAGGGAGAAATGTACCAGACAGTTTTATTCTGGTCTAAAGTACTTATTTAGCCCATGGCTGCTAGGAGAATTACCCATAATTTTGCCCATAGAAATGACTACGACACTCTGTTGCTTGCTGTTAGCTCTGTTCCTAGATTCATTATGGGTAGGGGACCACTTAAAGAAATGGCAAATGTTTCCGTGCTGCAAGCCGCTCTGACGTCTCTAAAATCTGTTTTCATTTGAAGCGAATTTTGACCTGGGCTTTGTGTTTTCTTAAAAAAACAAAACTCCAAAGCAACCACCCTCCAGACATTTGACTGTGAACAAGGCAAGCTGCCTTCCATTTTGAATGGATTTTCCTTTTGTTGGTTAGTAATGACCACAGGATTCCATTCTCTGGATTACTCTGAGAGCAGGGATTTAAGGCCTAGCAAAGAAAACAGCCTCCCATGTCAAAACTTTCCGCTCCTGCCAAGTTTACAGCTAGCACACAAGGCAACGTAACCATCAGTCGTTTTGTGTCAGATCAGCCTCAGGACCTGCAGCACCAATGATCCAAATCAGAATATCCGAGGAGAGGCCTTCACTGCTCCGCCCTCGCTTGTTTGAAAACCTCGTCCGAATAAACAAAATCTGAAAGGGCCGAGGCTGCTCGAAAGGAAACCGTAAACGGTCCCATCTGTGGCTCTTGGCTAATATCTCCTCAGACAGGGAGAAAAGGAGATTACAGGAAGAAGAGTCTCTCTTCGCTCAGGAGGAAATACCACTACATTCTAGCATCCTCACTGCTCCACCGTCCATTCCTCCAGCGCCGGGCTCTCTTCAAGGAAGATTCATTACAGGGGAACTGCGACATGAGCCTGCAAAGAGAGGGACACCGTCTGAAAGGAGAATGAACAAAAAAAACCAAAACAGCGCCGAACCAAACTGAACAAATTCAAGCTGAGGATGCAAACATGGAGGCACCCAAAATTAGAGGCTAGTTTTGAAATTTTGGCCTAAAGGAGTTGGCCAACTCGACAGTCAGGAATAGCAGCACTCAGGCCTCCAGACTTGCCTCACCCCCCCACCCATTTCTAGAACAGCCCCTCCCTGGTGGTTCTGAGCTGTGCACCGATCAGCCCTCACAGTGACATTTCAGAGCCAGAGCTGCCTTCACGCTTCCACATTCCAGCTGCGGCGGCAAGAAAAGTTGGCGCATGGTGGCAGAGATGCTCTGGTGGTAATTACAGCCGTGCCAGACGTCAGCAGCAGTGGAAATCGTGAGAACCCTTGTTCCTGTTAGATTTCCAGCTACATTCTACAGACATAAAAACTGGGGCTAATTAGTCATAGCACTTCAAAGAGCTTTAATGGTCTCAGGATGGGCCCCCCCCCCCCCCCCCCCCCCCCACTGGAACTGAACAACAAATCTCTGGGCCGTTCGAAACACAGAGCCGAGTTTTGGAGCTTGAGTCCAGTTATGTAATAACCAGAGCTGGATGAGCATCAGAAAATGTATTAATCAAACAAATTATCCTGGGACTAATTCTGTCAGCCAGTTAATTTATTCAGTGAATAATATTCAGCCAGCAATCTGCAGATGGGACACATACTGTACGTGACAGAAGCAACATTCATTGAAGAATTATTCTCTCAATGATTTTTAAGTAGCTCCAATTACAATGAATTCAACTCCCAGATGCCCTAGAGAGAAGGGCAAATGTTAGTATTTGTGTTATTACTCTACAGATGGGGAAACTGAGGCACAGAGAGGGGATGTGTGTAAATAACCTGCCTAAGGACACAGAGAAACGTAGCCGCTGGGATTGGAATTCAGGAACTCCTGGCTTCTGCTCCCTAACATACTCTCAGAGAAACCACTGGTGAAATCCTGGCCCCACTGAACTCTATGGGAATTGTGTCATTGACGTCAATGGGGTGAGAATTTCACTCATTGTTTTTCACCGGTTCTAGTACGTTCCAGGGAGACACAGTATAACAAGTCGCACCTCCACAAGTGTGTGTGAAATGGTGGAGCAGGGCCCAAGTCCTTTGTGGGGTGCCCATCACTAACTTTCATGGCTGGGATTTTCAAAAGGGAGTTAGGCACCTGAGATTTGAGCACCTTAACTCCCCTAGGCTCCTTTGGAAATCGCTTCCTATCGCTCTTACGGTCAGAAGTGACCTGTGCTTGAACCAGCCCCTTGCTCTGAAAAGGGGCTATGGACGTTAGCCAGGACACTCTGTTTGTACCATTTGTTATTATCATCACTACCACAAACTGGAGATGAAGCGATTTAGGGCCAGATTCGGCTATTGGCTTCACTGGTGTAAAACCAGAATAACTCCACTGAAGTCAGTGGAGTGACTCTGGATTTACATTCATGTAACTCAGAAAATAATTTGTTTCCTACAGTCTTAATCTAATACAACCCGTGTCCAACATGGGACTGACCCCCCCCCCCCCGTGTTACCTCCTGGGTTCTGTCTAGTTCAGGCCATGGTTTGCAGGGCTAAGGACAATAAGAAGGCATTTTAAAAGTATATTAGGAACAAAAGAAATCCAAGCAATGGTATAGGTCCATTATTGGACGGAGATAGAAAATTGTTAATAATGATGCAGCGAAGGCAGAAATATTCAATAAATATTTCTGTTCTATATTTGGAAAGAAGCAGGACTGAAGTATTTCAAGGACAGGGCAGTGATGCAGAATGCGGGTGATTAACCATTGGAGCAAACTGGTGGATTCTACATCTCTTGATGGCTTCAAATCAGGCCTGGATGCCTTTTTTGGAAGATATTCTTTAGCCAGTCACAAGTTATTGGGCTCAGTACTGGGGCACTGATGCAACCGATGCTGGGATACTGTGTCCAGTTGTGGCATCTGCAATTCGAGAAGGATGTTGATAAATTGGAGAGGGTTCAGAGAAGAGCCCAAGAGTGATTAAAGCATTAGAAAGCCGCTTTACAGTGATGGACCGAAGCAGCTCAATCGATTTAGCTTAACAAAGAGAAGGTTAAGGGGTGACTTGTTCACAGTCTGTAAGTACCTACATGGGGACCAAATATTTAATAACAGGCTCTTCAGTCCAGCAGAGACAGGTCTAACATGATCCAATGGCTGGAAGTGGAAGCTAAATAAATTCAGACTGGAAATAAGGTGTAAAATGTTAACAGGGAGGATAATTAACCCTTGGAACAAACTTACCAAGGGTCAAGGTGGATTTTCCATCATTGACAATTTTTCAATCAGGATTGGCTGTTTTTCTAAAAGATCTGCTCTGGGAATTTTGGGGGGAAAGTTCCATGCCTGGTGACGCACAGAATGCCACACTAGATCTAACGGTCCCCTCTGGCCTTAGACTCTATGAATCTATGAGCTGCAAGTATCAGTGCACTCTCCTCAGTGGTAGGACAGCAAAAACAGGGGATCTTCCCATGTTCATTACAGTGCATAATAGAAGCTGGTCTCAAGGTCAAGCAGAAGGCAACGAGCGCTACTAATGGTCACTGGACAGCATTGGCTGTATGATGGCATTGGAGAGGGGTTTTCTGCTCTGTGTGTGTGTAGCTTGAACTAGAATATATTAACACCCCCCCACCCAAAAAAAAAGCCCTACAGCACACCACGCTGTATCACTGGAGGGAGCACACAGGGGAAGTCCAGCAGCAGTGCAGACAACAAACAAACTTTTCTCTGCAGTGGCCACACTAAGGATCAAAGGGCTGCGAGGGAAGGCCGTGCCTGCTCTGCGCTGGAGAAAAGCCCTTTTGTGCCTGAGATAAAAGGGAGATTGTCTGAGAATGGCTCATCCTGTTGGCTTCTATCCCCTAATCTCCATAATGCGCCCATGCCAGAACTAACGTGGTAGCTGGCCGTGCTAGTCGTCATGTCAGGTAGAAGCAGATCTCCCCAGATCACAGCAGCCAACACTTGACTCTTACCACAGCTCTTAGGGAAATGGGCTGCCTCCGTTCTGTGGGGTCTCCTCCTCTGGGCCCCTAGGGTCCTGGCCATCTCTCACCTACTCAGTGCTAAGAAAACTAGAGGAGGGCTTGGATCAAAAGGCTGGGCCTCACCCTTCCCCCTCCTTTGCACACTGCTCCTGAGCACTGGAGTCTTACAAGAGTTCCCTTCCATGTCTGCTTCCTACTTGCCTGATAATCAGAACCAGATTTAGCTTCCCTGGCTCCCTATGGAGCACAGCCACCTGATGCCCCCAAGTCAGCCTGCCCTGCAAATCAACCCAGGTCAGACCTGAGCTCCTGAAAACACTTGGTGACAGTTGTGCCTTTTCCCATTAAAATTTCGTTATATTGGGGGCCTGCTAACTCGGGGAAATTGCAGGGACAACTTTCAAAGGTTGCCAGCATCACATGTCTTCCTGTCACACAGCTACGCTGTTGTTTCCCATGGTACTTTCCTTCCTCTCCCCAATAGTCTGGTGGCCGCTGTGGTCACATCTGCAGCGTGTCTCCGACACGGTCCTGCTGTACAATCTTGCCTTTGTTTTGTTGTGTATATTTTTTCTCTTTTCACCACAGTTCATGCAGATTCTGCAATGATAGCGCCTTGGGCGGTGACCTCATGAGCCCTCACAAGTTAAGCAGGATCAGACATGGTCAGCGTATGGGTGGGAGACTCTTATGGACTGTAGCCGTCAAGGTGCCGCAGGAAGAGGTACTGATAATTCAGTAGGTGACACGCTTTCCTCTGAGTCAGTGCTGACCCCAAGGCCCCAGTGCGGTGCTGCAGAAAGTGAGGTGGAGGGACGCTGTCCCCTCCCAAGTATCAAAGGGGTAGCTGTGTTAGTCTGGATCTGTAAAAAGCAACACAGAGTCCTGTGGCACCTTACAGACTAACACACGTTGTGGAGCATAAGCTTTCGTGGGTGAATACCCACTTCGTCAGACGCATGTGGTGGAAATTTCCAGAGGCAGGTATAAATATGCAGGCAAGAATCAGTCTGGAGATAACGAGGTTAGTTCAATCAGGGAGGTGAGGCCCTCTTCTAGCAGTTGAGGTGTGAACACCAAGGGAGGAGAAACTGCTTTTGTAGTTGGCTAGCCATTCACAGTCTTTGTTTAATCCTGAGCTGACGGTGTCATTTGCAAATCTGACATGCATCTGACGAAGTGGGTATTCACCCGCGAAAGCTCATGCTCCAATACGTCTGTTAGTCTATAAGGTGCCACAGGACTCTTTGTCACTTCTCCCCTCCCAGTCATTGCTTTGATTCCAGTGCCACAGCATGATGCTAAGGACTCTTGTACTCTTGCTATCCTTATGGACTGGATGTTAAATCAAGGTCCTTGTCACATCTGCTCACTAAAGATCCCGTGGTCCTTTCCACAAGAGCAGTAATAAGTAACAAGAACTAGTAATGATAACAATCGGTCGTTAATAAGGGGCTTAGCCCTGGTATCACGGCCAAACACCAGCTTGAGTAGCTGCATTCTGCCTCTTTAAATCCCCCGCCTGAAGAGTCGACCGGACACAAACTTCATCCTCACTTTCCATCCTGAACTGTTGTGTAGACTGCTGTCCTGTCCATGCATACTGCACAGTCTGCATGGATTCCTAGAGCCCTGCAAATCTGCAGCTACCCGTGCACCATGTTTGCAGATAGCAGATCGGATGAGGATACAAATTTTGTATCTGCACAGGGCTCTACTGATCCCATGCACAGAATTTCCACTGCATCCTATGATGTGGAGCACAAAGAAATGTACCTCCCTGCAGATCCTGAACGCTACTAGCTAGGCAAAGCTGCTGTTAAATGTCATTTACTTTTTGCAAATCCAGACAGAACCTGCCGTTCTGTCTCTACAGCCATTTAAAAAGAAATGTTCATCAAGTCCATAACCCTCACCCCC